TTTTGGTTGGGGGGAGAGGGTAGTAGTTGATATTTAAAAAAAAAAAAAATTTGTTATTAAGTAACTGTATTCTCTATTATTTAAACCATTTGCAAAAACTATTGTTACTAGGATGGTAGAGTAACGGAGGAACTTTAGTGACTCTTGAGACGCATCTTAGTAAACCTTCTTAACAAGGTCTATTATAATACTTCTTGAAATATTCAAGTTTACAAACTCTTGGATCGCTATCTATAGATTCTGTTTATATGCTCATCTAACAAGTATTTCTAAACCTTCATTTTCACACACACACTCGAACATATGATTGTGGGTTGCACATTGGATTATTACATTATTTGTGTTCTTTTGTTAAAGGTAACAACTAAGGAAAAGGGATAGTATATAATATGCAAAAAAAAAAAAACAAAAACAAAAAAAATATAATAATAATAAAAAAAAACAAAGTAGATGAGTTTGGTTTCGTAGCCTCCTTGACTTAAGCAAATAAGCCTGAAGGGGTGTTTGAACACCTAGTACCCTAAAGTCAACTGATTTGAGAGTTATTGGCCTAGTGCTTGTTACATGGGTTGAGGAGAAAGCTTAAGGGAATCAAACACTACACTATCTACATATTAGTATTTGCAACCCGAGTTACTAAGCTCGTAGGGGTGCCTCAACACCTGATGCCCTAAGACCAACTGGTCTGGGAGTCATTAGCCGAAAGCTCGTTACATGGGTTCAGGATACATTGTGCTATAAATTCTTGCTTTAAAAAAAAAAAGAAAAAAAAAGATAACAATCCCAACCCGAAGAAGTTAACCTTAAACATTAGAACAAAAATTTTATTCTCTTCCATGAAAAGCTCCATAACTATGTTTTGATTTATTGAGCACCAAAAGAAGGTTTACTAATATCTTGTTTAAGAGGTATTCAACAGATATATAAATTTAATGAGAGTTTGTTTATCTGGATAGATTAATAGAAGTTAAATGATGAATGCCTTGCTTTGTGGTATTTGCAAATTATTTTTCTATTTTAATGCTTTGATTACTAGGGACTAGTAATAAGCTGGTGGGGGGTGTGATTAGTACTTAAAAGTGCATTCTCATTAAGGATTTATGTCATCATATTGCACCTAAAGTATCATTAAATTCCCTAACAAAAGCATGTTTTATATTAGCAAGTCTAAAAATATAATATACCTTTAATTCATGGTAAATATTCATCCTAAATGCAGGTCTATCACATAAATAAAAGGATTGATTGATGAGTTTAAGGATTGAAATTGAAAGGATAAAAAGAAGGCCAAACTTAGCAAAGTGTTGCTGGTGCATTCCAAACTCGAACACCGTTCAGTAATTTGATCATATCTGGAGCTGTAGATATCAGATTTACGTCCATTTTATATCGATGGAAAGGTAAGACATAGACCTACAACTTTTATATGAAGTCAAAGACTCAGTTCTGCCGTTTTCAAGCCCAAATCTTAGCAACAACGAAGACGTCGGAAGTTGTCCTGCAGCTCAAGCACTATTCGGTTTTTGGCTCATATCTTGAGTTCTAGAAGTCCAAATGAGCTCTGGTTTTTTTTTATGGAAAGCTGAGACAATTGTCCACAGCTTCCATAATTCAGTTGGCTATAATTCTGATGTGAGCAATGACGTTTTGGCCAGCCAACAATATCAAAAATCAGCCTATAATATCAAAAAACCAGCAGCCATTAATGTCAAAAACCAGCCACCAAATCAATGGATGCCCACCAATTCTTCAATCAATCAATAGTTCTGAAACTTAGCCTATAAAAGGAGGCATTGTCCATGTATTTAGTCATATTAATTTTCAGATCAAAGTTATCTTCTTGCTTTCTCTCTACATCTTTGTAATGTTCAAGTTTTCTTTTATGCTATAGTAATCTCTTGTTTATGCTCTTTCATTTCCTTTCCTATACTTAGTTAGCTTATATTATGTTTATGTTCTTATATTGTTTATTTGTGTTTTTCTCCTTCTTAATGTTTAGCTAAGTTAATTATGTCAAGGTGAAAAGGTTTCTCTAATGGTGTTAGAATAGGTATAATATAAACTCAACATGAGCTTTAAATGTTTATATCCAAGAAAGATTGTTATTAACATGTTTTATCTTTTTATCTTACTAATTCTTAATACCTTGCTTATTAAATGTTTAATTTAGATTTGTGTTGTATAATATTTGGTACATCAAATGCTTGATCTTTCATAGTTTTCGGCTGAAATCGTTATTATGATAGAAACTTGATTTGTTGTTAACATAAACTAGCAACATGAATGCTTGATGATATTTATAAGTATGGTATTACTTATATAAGATAATTAATATGATCATGTTAGTAATTTATAATGAGCTAATAACGAGAAATCATCCGATTAGAATCTCCTTTGTGTGTGGTTTCTAGTTGAGTAATAAAAAGAGTTTATATTATATTTATTTGAAATACCATTAGTGAATCCTATAACCTTGACATATGTTTTGTTATTGTTTAATCCTTACATCAATATCACATCCCAAAACTTTCTTCAACTCCTTTTCTGTTATTATTCTCTTTAAATCTTTTTCTTTATTTGTAATTTATATAATTCACCTCCCTGTGGTTCGACCCCGGTCTTGCCGGGTTATTTTACTTTGACACTCCTGCACTTGGGATAAGACATCAACTCTTTGATCGTGTCAAATACCCAAGTAAAAAAATTAGAAACCTAAAGAATAAGGATGAAATTGGAGAATATAATATTTTGTTAATTGGGATTCAATGATGAAATGGAGAAAAATAAAATTTCTACAAAATGATTAGTATAAAAATTGAGAAAAGAATAAATATTAAAGTTAAAATCCCGACAACCAAAAAGAACAAATTTTAATTTTCATGAGATGAAAAAAAAAAAAAAAAGAAATGAAGGCCCATCGACGACAAACTAGACCATAACCAAAGATATGCATCATATTGAAAGGAAGAAGATACTATGGCACTTCCAAAAATATAATGGTGATTTTAAAGACATGATGAAAGGATATTTTTGAATAGATAAAGACGCCGCACGCGTTACCAAAGGACCTTGGGTGCCTATCATCCACCTTTAGGTGTGCCACACACATACATTCTTTTTTGTTTTTATCTAGCTAAATACAAAAGTTCCTCTAATATGACTTTCTAATTTAAAAAAAAACATTGTAAAAAAATAAAAACACTCTAATTAAATTTCTTGATTGTAAATATATTTTCATAGTTTTACTATACATTTTAATTGTTTATTATATTTGATTAAATACCAAACTTTCTCTCAGCTTAAATTGTCACAATGAAAATACAAAAATACTCATTAACATTAAATTTAATTTTCTTACAAAGATATTCTAATCATTTTATTGTGCAATGAAGATAAAAAAATATTTATTTGTTTCCAATCAATTTAAAAGTAACAAATAATCCTTATAAAAAGATCTTAATGTTCTTGAAAGCTAGTGCAAAGATTTTTAGAAGAAAAGGTAAAAATACCATTACATTACTCAAGTGAAAAAAATCAATAGACATGGATGTGGAGCTACAATAGTTTTTTGTTTCTTGGCTGGGGGCATTTTTACTAAACATTTGGGATCATGGTTTGCAAAAAAAATATTTTTTTGTTAAAAATTAATTTTTTAATATATTTTGAATTGTTTTAATGTGTTAATTTTTAAAAAATAAAAAATATTAATATGATGCATTTCATCATGAAAAACACTTTAAAAAATAACCACAACCACACTCCCAAAAAATTATTTAGTTTTTTTTCTTTTCAACCATAGATATCTAATTTAAGATTGTTAAATGTATTCTTCATTTTATAGATGTTTTTAATATATTGCATTAAAAAAAGAATTTTAAAAGTTTAATTTGAACGAGGGTTAGTGTTTAATAAAGAAATTAATATTAATAATTTAATACGTAAATAAACTGTTGATGAAAATTTACTTCTTAAACATTTTCCTTGATTAGTGAATTTCTAAGTGTCAGTTCCGCGCCCCCTTCCATTCCTCCACACACAAACACACACACTACCTCTAACTTTATTTTACTTGTAAAAGGCCTCCAACAGAAGTTAATATGACTGCATGTTTTTGTTGTTTATTTTGTGATAAAAAAGATCGAACATATTCCAGTAATATATTGAAGTTAATATTATTCTACTTTTTTTTAATTTCTTTTATCAATTACATATGTCCAGTGAATATATATGCATTTGATTTATCTTAAAGATTTCTTTATGGAGACTGCCGTGCCATCTCTTATAGAAATCGACGAGGATTGTACATTGGTGGCTGGCACCAAGTTGCAGAAAGCACGGATGAATTTAGCATAGTTATAAAAAAAACACCTGATATAATGTTATTTTTTATTAATTAATAAATAATAATAGATAATTATCGGTTATCACTCATTATATACCCATAAAGTTTTGATGAATAGTTTATAAATATTTAAGATAGTATTTAAGGATATGGTAATAGTTGTTTTTTAAAATATTTTTTATTCCAAAAAATATTAAAAAAATATTTTTATTTTAAAAAATATTTTTAATATTTGCATGTTAAAACAATCCAAAAACATTAAAAAATAATTTAAAATAATAAAAAATTCAATTTTTAATTAAAAACAAGTTGAAATTCACATCCAAATACCCTCTAAATTTCTTATCCAAATAAATATAATGAATAGAACATAAATATTAAAAAATCAAACCCGCATGTATCTATTATCATTACTAGCATCATTCATTTTCCCTCGTGAGAGTCGGTCACAAAAATCCCCTACCTTATCTCTTCAAATTCCACGACGCTCTGCATCTTGCCTCTTATAAGAAACCAGAATTTGTTTTATATATATATAAAGTTTTTGGATTTATTAGCATAAGATAATAAAGCGTTCCATGGTGGATGTGAAAGCCTAATAAAGAATCCTTGAAACAGTCAAACCTTCCATTTATAACAACTTTCCATTTTATCGTCTTTTGGATATTCCATTGGTAAATTTAATTTATCCACTTAATGTTATTTATTTGTTTGTTTGTTATATTGTCAAAAAATCTTTAAAAATGAGCAAAAAAATTGTAATAATGGTCGAGAAAAACCTAAAGTAGCAGTCTCTCTCTATATATGGAGCAGCTAGAGAGGCGAGCCGGTTGTGTGAACACTGTGACCAGTTGCTAATTCTCACACACAAAGCAGCGGAAGAATCTTAGAGGGAAAGGTTAGATGCTTCGTTGGATTCTGATTCATCATTTTGTGAAATTAGAAACTGTTGCAGATTTTGTTCCTTTTATTTATTTTCTAAAATTTATTTTTTCACTAGGTCATTAATCAGCCTGGCTTATAATTAACAGCTATTATCTCTTTAATCTTCATCTCTTTTGTCTGTGATGTTGTTCTGACTTCTGATCATAGATATTTCTGCTTTCTTTCTTGATATATGTAAATATAGTCTGCATGGCATGGTTTCTGGCAATGAAAGGAAATGATTCCAGAAGAATTTTAGGGTAGATGGGTTTGTTACTGATAATGATCTAATTAATTGCTAGTTATTTATTTGGTTTTTCGTTATGGATTCGATCCAGCTCTGTGCACTAAAAATAAACTAATTCAAATGGATAGTATAAATCTTCTGGTTTCTTTCCCTCTTTCTTTATTAGCAGAAGGAAGAAGACATGGGAAACGATTCATACAAGGATGCCATTGCAGGACTGAGCAAGCTTCTTAGGTATACCCTACTGATCATGAGTTTTCTACATTAAATTCAGAACAAACAAACTTGAGATTTACTTAGAATACTAATGATTTTCTGTCTTTTTTTCGTTCCTCGCTTGCTTATAAAATCCTTTCATATTTGACATTGATTCATGTACCTGTATTTTTCTTAAGTTGCCATAGCTACTAATTATAGCAATAGGTAAATTCCTCTTTCATGGGGCCCAATGAATGGATTTAACTGACTGTTCTCGTCCTTTCGAGCTTACCTCGGCAACAGTGAACGAGCTGACCTCGGGAGTGTCGCCGCCTCAAAAATCAAGCAGGTAGCGGCCGAGCTGGAGGCGGCCGGTTCGAAGGAGTTTGACCCGGCCGAACGTATTAGAACCGGGTTCTTCCACTTCAAGACGGAGAAATATGAGTACGTTTCATTTTAGCCTTTCCCTTTGGTTCGGATAATATTTATTTATAAGCACTCCATACGGCTGCTAAAGCACCATCAACTTGCCCTCTTCTTGTGCTTGTCCCATTGATAATTATTGTCTCCCTCCCATGATCCCCTCCCAAAACACCTAATTTACGGTTATCTAACTGTTACTGCCGTTAAACATGGTTTTA